CAGTTTTCCTTGATGAAATTGTTAAAAAATTGATGATCCAACCAAAAAGAATGAAAACGGAAAGGGCGTTCCACCCCATCAACTTTGCTTGGCTCTAAGGTAATAAGGATAGGATTATGGTCACTGTTAATACGAGGAAGCACTCGAACCTGGCCTTCATGAAACATCAACCTCCATTCAGCATTGCTACAAGCTCGATCTAAACGTTTAAAGACTCTATCTAAATGAAGAAATCTTGGTCCTCGCCATGTAAATTTAGAACCTATTCCTTCAAGACCAATCATCTTTATATCAGTTAGAAGAGAAGCAAATTTATTACATCTGCTAGTATCAACTGGAGCACCACCACGTTTCTCACTTGGAAAGGCAATTTCATTAAAATCACCTGCAATTAACCAAGGAACCGAGATATCTTCTGATAACTGAAGTAAATCATCCCAAAGTCTCTTCCGAATTTCTTCTCTAGGACTTGCATAGATAACAGTATAAAGAAAAGCTTGATGATCTGCCAATGTAACACGAACATGAATAAATTGATGGGTCTGTTTTAATGCTTGAACTTGACACCTATCATTATTCCATAGTAACCAAAGACCTCCCGTAAATCCATGAGCATCCTCCACTATTGAATTATTAAAACCCAGCTTTTTTATTATCTGTTTTGCTTTTGAACCACTTACTCGAGGTTCAAGAATAGCTGCCACCTCAATCTTATGCCTTCGAACCATCATTTGAAACGTTGATTTGAAGCACTTTTTAGCCGCCCCGCGGCAATTCCATGTAACTAAAGACATTAATCAATGGTAATTTGGCAGGATTGTGGGTCCACTGCCATCCCATTGTCATTGCACTGAGTTTCAGATTCTGAAATCATCTCCACCTCAATATTGAGCTTATGGTTTATTGGGATATGCTTTCCTTTATCTCTACTTGGATCAGGCGCTTTTGGTTGGGACAAGCCATAATCTAAGCCGTTGATATTTTGACCATCCTTATCCACCTCCATTTGATAACAATCTTTGTTATAATCAGCAACAGTACTTATAGCCACCATGGAATCTCCACCGCTTTTACCTCCAATGTCCTTACTATTATGAATCGCAACTTGCCTCCTCAAGTTCGTTGTATTATTGTTTGAGGTACCTCTGTCAACTATCTTCCCATTTATTTGATTTTCTTTTTCATGACCTGTCGTAATCCCACTTAACATAAATCGGTTGGGGTGTTCCTGTAATTCAACATTAGGACGGCTTCTAGGGTTTGTGTTTGGACCCTTGAGATGTACTAATATCAATATTAAGAGGAGGGCCCACCATATTGACGTCATTTATAACAGCATCCGGATTAGTCGCTGGGATATCATGAGTAATATCATCTTCATTAGAGCCCATTAAAGCAGCGTAACGGGAATTTGATTGATTATCAATCATAACCGGCTGATTTGATTGCGGTTGATTACTCCCTTGATTACTCCATTGATTATTCCCTTGATTACTCCCTTGATTACTCCCTTGATTATTCCCTTGATTACTCCCTTGATTACTCCCTTGATTACGCCTTGATTCCCTTCGAACCGGTTCCTGCTTCCTGTTGTCCGCCATTGGAGTTTGAATTTTTGATCGACGTTGACGTTGCACCACCATCCAAGGACCTAATCCATTTTTCTGAAACTCAGCCTCATCTTTTTTCCCTTCTTGATTTTGCTGATTATCCTTTCCTTCAACTGGTATCTCAGGACAACAATCTTTACTATGTCCATAGCGCCCACAATGGAAACAAATAAGGCCTAAACCTTCATATTCTATCTGTTTAGTTGCTCCGTCCAACACATATTCACCCTTCAAAGGCTGAGCAAGATCCAGTTCCACGCAAATTCGAGCAAACTGTCCTCTTACATGCTCATTAGTTGTCTTATCGATCTTCAACATTTTACCTAGCCAGTCACCAATACGGCGGAAAAATGCTTCATCATAATACTCCAGTGGGATACCCGGTAATCGCACCCAAGCTGCAATCTTCATCACACTTGCAGCATTTGGTCTAAAAGCTGGCTCCCAACGTCGGAGTGATAAATAATGGCCTAAAATAATCCAAGGACCACCATTTAGAGCAAAAAGAAGATCATCTTTGTTGCTAAATTGTACCCCATAGAATCCATTACCTACATCTGTAACGTTAATCTTTCCAGCTCTAGCCCATAGTATTTCAATCTTCTTTTTCATGAAAGCCACTCCTGTATTCCTTCCAAGTAGTTTTACAATGAGAGCTTTTTCCCAAACCTCCAGCATTCTTGTTCTTGCTTTTCTAGTATAACCAAAATGAGTTCTACCATCTTCCTCTGTCCACATTTTAATCCCACCATAATTCACATCCTCTTCCTCCGCAGGTGCACTTTGATCAACATTTTCTTCCAAATTCCAATCCATTCCTTCCCAGTCATCTGTTTCACCATTGTGTTGCATGAGCATCTCTCGCCAAGTCATCTTTTTATTACCGTCGTCAACCATCCAAGATTCATGTCTAGGAACCCTAGACTGTGATTCAGTAAACACCATATCTCCATCTTTATTTCTCTTATTACTCCTACGTAGTAGATCTTCTTCTTCTTTTGAAGTTTGGCCTTCAGTAGCTATATTTTCCTCCATGAAAAGGAAAACCCTAGCAGAGCGTTTTTTTCAGTTTGTATTACCTTTAAAAACTAATTTCACTAAGCCTATAAGACCTTCAATACCAATCAAAAATTAGAAAAATAAAATAAAATATATTATTTTATTAATTAAAGTTAGGGATTAATGTTTATCATTTTAAAATACATAAAGTTGTGTAATTTTAAGAGAAAGAAAGAAATGCACAATGGAAATCATGAGGGGAAAAATGAGAGATTTTTTTAATTTAAATTTTTAAATAAAAAATACCACTTGTAACGAAAAGGACCATTCTTTAAAAGGATAAGCATTTTTCCCTTGAAGTTATTTAAACAATTATTTTATTTTAATGAGTAAATAATACAATATTGGCCTATGTACAAAGCGCAAGTTTTGTAAAAATAAACCTGTGGCATGTTTTTTAAGACCTTAATATTTTTCATTTTATTAAATATATATATATCAAGTCGTAAAGGTGGTGAGGCTACATTAATGGTTTTATATATCTCAACACGCCCTCTCACATGAGAGCCCACTGGGCTTGAAGGGTGGACAATGCACAGGCCCACCTACCTGTACGAAAAAAGAAATTACACTAGAAAGAAAGTGGAGGCGATGAGGATCGAACCCGATATACCGAGGCTCTGAATTAAAAAAGGCTTCCGGTATACCGGGTTCGATTCTCTCCGCCCCCCACTTTCTTTCTAGTGAGATTTCTTTCTTCGGACAGGTAAGTAGGCTTGTACATTGTCCACCCTTTAAGCCCAGTTGGCTCTCGTGTGAGGGGGCGTCTTAGAGAATAATACTAATCATTAAAGGATTTGGTGTTTATCATTTTAAATGACATAAGTTATGTTATTTTAGAAGAGAGATAGACACAAGGAATGAAAATCATGGGGGAGAGAGTGAGTAGTTTTTTTTTAATTTAAATTTTAAATAAAAATGATATTTTGTGTCTATATCTCTCTTAAATTGACATAACGTTATGTCATTTAAAATGACAAATATTTTTTCCATCATTAAAAAGGCTCTCACCTAACACCTTAAGGTCTTGGGTTGAAGTGGTTCTTTATATGGACGGAACGGGTTACACATCTTGACCCATCAACCCATTCCAGCTCACCCCGTTTATAAGCGGGTTTAAACGGGTTATGGGCGGGGCAGGTTAACTCGCAATTTTTTTTTTTAAAATCATAACCCAACAGGCCAACACCACCCACCAAGACCTAAGTGACTAAGTCCCGGCCGACAGCCAGACCCAAAGTGAAAAACAACCCTCACAGCGCTGCGTTCTCTTTGTTTTCTCTTTTGTCTCTCTCTCTCTCTCACAGTTCCAAGCTGGTACCTTTGTCTTTCATACGATTTTATCAACTCCATCACTGTTCGAGCCTTTCTTTGCACTACACTTTTTTTCTTTTTTAAGTTCAGATCCCTAATTTTTTTTTGAAAGTTCAGATCCCTAACTTTAATTTTTTTTCTATTTGTATATAGTATTTTGACCACCCCTTAAGAGTTGTTTCTAAAGGGTTTGGAGATTGCAATCTCCAATTTGGAGGCGTCGAGAAAATCTACTGCCGAAACAGTAACCAATTGACTAAACAGAAAAAAGAACAAACACAAAGATTGTGAGAAAATATTAGGCTAAATTACATAAAACCACTCTCTATTTAGGTGGTGTTTCAAAAAAACACCCTAATTGAAACAATTAACCACCTCAAATTATAAAAATACAACAATTAAACATATATTATAATTTTATAACAAAAATACCCCCTCTCTTTAACCTATCACCGATCACTCTATTGTTAGCCTACTTCATTTTTGTTTAAGAGGAACTTGTTTCATTGTTGATTGTTTTTTCAAGAATAATGTACGTGACATAACTTTATCACTATTTTGCAACTTCTTCTCCATATATGGCCCTGAAATGCTTCGTCGCCCTAAAATGCCTCGTCCACATCCTTGCTATTGAGCAAGTTGAGTGCGAGCTTCAACCTGTGCACCACCAACGAAGAGAAGAGAAATAAGCTAAAGGAGACAACCTCGAATACGAGGAGCTTCTTTGCGATGTCCACACTGGCATCGCAGAATATTCGATTCTAGAGGCTGCACCGTCCCGGTGTCGTGAGCGAGATGACCCAACAAACTCAGTGATGGTGAATAACGAATTTACGTTGACAAGACCGTCGAGAGCGGACACGTGCACAACACTATCTGAACAATTCCTTCCCTTTTTTTAAGCTAAGGTATCAACTTCTCCTCTCAATTCAATTGTATTACAGTATTTCAATATATTCTAATTGAGATGCTGTTATCTTTTACTAATTTGATTCCCTCTGATTTTTATTCTCATCTATGGTAGATGGAAAGATTAAGGCTCTCAATGTTGAAGAAGCTCCCTCTTATGTCAAGGTTTCTGGCGCAGATACAATTTTGGTACAGATGTGAAGTATCTGTTAGTTTGTATGTATTTAGCAAGTCTACAATATAATAATGTACCTCATCAAATGTTGTAACTTGAGAGTTTCTATTGGATCACTTGTTTTTTAGTATTGGACTTTTTTCTGTTGTCACTGATCCCTTCTTCCTGGATGCAATGTTAATATTGTAAAGTATTGGACTTCTATTGTTTTTGTCTCTAGGGAATAATACATGTTTGTTTAATGAGCTATGTTTTTCATTCCTATATGTCAAAACAGAATATTGGGTTGTGTAGATATTGGGTCTGGGAAGTTTGCTGTGACCATGCTGGTTAGGGACTTGTCTGCTTATAAATTTGTCTTTGTCTTTCTAGAGGTAAGTTCGCTTGACTATTTTGATGTCTATGACCTCTTTTTTATTAGATTTTTTTTTGTGTGGTCATTTTTCCACATCCAGACGTGCAGGAATAATCAGTCTGTTTTCTGTAATTATTGCTTAATGTATATTGAATATTGGGTATACTGGATTGTTATTACTTAAGGAGATGCAGGATTACATGGTTTTAATTTAATTTATATCTGAAGTCCTTCTTAACCTTTTTGATAATAGAAAATAGCTGTTTTGTGAATGTTGCAATTATTCTATCAGTTTGGAGGTAATGAAGTTCTGAGAAATTCCTTGAATGCTGGTTCTGGCTTCCATCCTTCATTCTGTACTTTATAGCATGTATATCTTTTCTAGCTTAGGTCAGACTGAGCTATAACTTTCATTGTCTAAGAATAGAGAACTCAACCAATTCGAGTCCTCCCTGAAGAACTTGTCATGGAAACAAGTTAAGATGAGTAATAATGTGAAATTGTGAAGTCTGTTGGTTGGTGATTGATCGCAAATGAACATTTATAATTTCTTGATGGTAAGAACTGTTGTTCCTGCATGAGAGATGTAACTAGAAATGCTTCCAGCATGAGAAATTATATGAATTTTGTTTGGTTTGCCTTACTAAGAAGTTGAGGTAAATGATTAAATTTTATTGTACTTTACGCCCCACACATACAAAAAAAAAGACAGGTATTAATCCAGGTTTTAAATTATATGAATCTTCGTTGATTATCTCACTGATTTTCCAAATTGTTTGAAAGAGATATTATTCTTTCTTTATTAGTACTGGCATGTTGATTCAGCAAGTATTTTTTTATTTTTTTATTTTGTTGTGTCAAGTTTATTGAGAGAGGCAACCAATTCCTAAGCACCATTTTGCACTGATGTTAATTGGGTGTACACTTTTTGATTTTCTGAAAAATAAAATTTTTGGCATGCAAGTTGGCCCTAACCCGTTGGGTTATTTGATTTTTTTGCTTGTGCGGGCTGTTAAAAAAGTGGACTTTTTAGCCCCGCCCCGCCCGATTTGACAGCTCTACTGACTAGGATATGTAAGTAAAAACAGCAACTTTGGTCAATTATTTACTTCGGATTAACAAACCATAGATGGTGATTTCAAATTCTGTTGAGAGGTTAAAGTTGATCATGAGATACTTAATCATTCTAGAATTTATTGTTGGAGGATATTTATTCAGTAAACCCATGCATGTTCCTTTGGAACTTGAGTATGCTATTAACACCTTAACCTAGGTTCCTTTTCGAATTCAGATATGTTATTAGTCTCTGACTTATATTGAAGATTTGAAGTAACTTATCCTTATTAAACCTATAAACATGTGTTTATGAATGTTATGTTATGCTTGAATATTTTACAGCTATCTTTTTCTTCCTCTAATTTTTGGGTGCCTCTCACCTCAAGGTAATGAAACTGCATAGCACCCTTATGAAAGTTAAATTGCCTTGAAGGCAGAAGCATGTAAGATGGAAAAATAAAAATTTTCTCAAGCGAAATCACACAGGCAATCAAGACTCATGCTTTAAGACAGCATGATGTTACCTTTGTTTGTGATTCAAACACCAAGGAGATCAGTGTCAGGTTTGAAGGGTTCAAACCCTCTAATGTTGATCCACACCACCCCACGTCAAAATGCAAGGACACTTCTTGAAAAGCCACCAACTGATCACCACAAAAGCTTGCTAGGCGTCAAATGTGTGAAGGAGGAGGCTAGGTAAAGGTGTAGAAGAGTGAAGTCTTCAGCATGAAAACATCACAAAAGTGGGGTATGGATGCTCTTAGAAAAGGCTAGGTTAATTCCAAAACACTTTGGGAAAACCTAACAAAAGTGGCGCACCAAAAGGATGAGAGGAAGCAAGGATGCAATCAGATTTTCTACTCAAAATTCTGATCACAAATGGCTCACATAAAGGGAGAGAAAGGGTGGAGTTGTTGCAATTCAAAATTCCCAACAACCTACCATTCAATACTCATGAGATTAGATCTTTATCTAATCAAAATTCTGACCTAATGGCCATCATATGGCCAGCAATCTATGCGCCCCATTCAGCCCCAAAAGGGGTCCAGATACGTTGAGCAGTTGCATTTAAATTTGAACCAACTCACTCATTGATTCTCTCAACCAACCAAATCTGATTGGAGCTTATTTGGTTGACTAGATGACACTTATAATCACACCAAATCAGCGCCCCAAACAGCCCTTGGTGATCTCCAAAGATCTCCTCATGATACAAGGGATTCGTTCCAACAAGATCTTATCTTATCATTTTGTTATGAAACAACTTTTCATAGTCAATTCAAATTCAAATTCAAACATTTAAATTCAAACGTTCAAACATTTAAATTCAAACGTTCAAACATTTAAATTCAAAATTCAAAATTCGAATTTAGAAATTCAAATTCAAATTTCAAATTTCAAAATTCAAGTTTCAAATTCAAAATTCAAAATTTAAATATTTGATAATTAATTTAATTAATTAAATTAATTAGTAATGTCTTGGACCTAGGGCTGGCAATATGGGCCGAGCCCGTCGGGCCAGCCCGTTTAACCCACTGATATTGGCGGGTTGGGTTATGAGTCTCAACCCACCAACCCAAGGTAGCCCGCCCCGTTTACAAAAGGAACAAAACGGGTTGATCATGATTCGGGCCGGGTTGGCCCGACGGGTTCATTTTTTTAATATTCGAATTTTTTTATTTTTTTTAATACACAAAAAATAAAATTACAAAATTTACATTGCACTTGTGTGCCCTAATTTTACACCAGCAATTGCGCCGTTCCACCCCTTGAGAGTTGAGATCCTGGCTTCTATTTCTCCCTTCAGATCCACCCCTTCTATTTCTCGCCGCCGTTCCTCGCCGCCGTTCCTCGCCGCCGTTCCTCACCGCCGTTCCTCCCCGGTCTTCGTTCCTGCCTTCGATCTCACCACCATTCATCTTCGTTCCTCTGTGGTGCCTGTCAGATCAAATTATTTTGGATTGTAAGTCCTGTAATCTTTTTTGTTTTGGTCCTTTTGCTTGAATCTGTTATGTCTAGTGATGCTCAATCTGGACACAAATAACAAGTAAATAACTCAGTCAAAATAAATGATTACGCTCCAATTTGATCTGTCCATGAAATTTTCTTTTCATTTTTTATTTTTTATTTTTTCAAATAACTCAACCAATTAATTCTGTAGCTATGGGTGTCATGGAATTGTGTTTAATTGATAATACTGGTACTTAGGTAAGTCAATTTGTGCATTAGATTTTGTGAAACTTTGATTTGATTTACTTCTTTGATTCTCAGTTCAATCTAGGTTCTGAGTTCTGACCAATATTGCGTTCCAAATTTGCACTTTCTACCTAATCTTAAATGGAATAATTTATAACCTGCGTGATTGAGAGTCTATTGGATCATGATGTTGATATCTCTTTGTTCATATTCTTAAACATTTTGTGGCACTTTCTACCTATAAATTAATCAAATAACCAAAAAGACCAATAAGATAAGAGATGTCATCATTTTCTCTCAATTATTGGCATAGCAAGATAGTACCTCTCCACAAAGACATTGGTGACCAGCAAGGCACAAGTATATATTAGGAATGATGGCAGAGTAGCCATTCTTCATATGTTATATTGAATAAAACTCCTCCTAAGGCCTCCCTATAATTTCAGGTGTTGTTTTCCCCAACCAACATGCCACTCTACTTTCTCTCTGAGTTGATTCTGACCCACTTTTGTTAAAGTTTTCTTGCAACCTATCTAAATAAAGGAACATAGAAGACACTGCAAGCTCAGTTTCAATTTTTTATTTTATTTTTTTATGTGATTAGTATTACTTATTTCATAATCTCAAAAAAGAAAGAAGACATGAAATTTTACAATTATAACTAGCCAACCAACTGCATAACTTGTTTTTGAAATCACCCATTAATAGTTGTACCTATACCAAGTAAAAACATTTATCAATTTTCTCATGCAATGGTGGTTGAGGTTTATGACTTTTCCTAGTAATAAGCAAAATTCAGTTTGCTATGAAAGTGTACCAGTCGGTTGTTGAGGTAGAAACACACTTTCAGAGGGTATCCCCATGTAGTTAAGGTACATATATACAAATGTATACACAATACACTTGGCAGCTATTTAGTTATGCTTGGATGTGCAAAGAAACCTTCTGAAATGAAAGTTCGAACAAACTGCTGATGACGGTGCTTAAGAGGGTGAGAAATCTAATTAGTGAAAGAATAGTTTAACCTCTGTTCATAAGAGTCAACTCATCACATACTGTTTGTGCGTTAGTGCGTCTATATTAAGACAATAAATACAATCCATGCATGATAAGAAAAGAATTAGTGCTAATCATGTTTTCAAATGCTGACATGAAGTTTGGATTGTTTTCTAAGCAAAGTCTTCCTATGGCAATAACTTTTCCTTATTAATTAACACTGTTCCATTGATGTTTACCTGCTTTCATTCAATCAAAAGCAAACAAGACATGTGAATCCAAATTATCATGTTTAGTGCCAGAATTAATTGGTTGAGTTATTTGAAAAATTCCTTATGGGTTGGACTGTACTTTATACATAATTCACAATCCTGTGGGCATATTGAAGATTTGGTTTCTGGGCAGGTCTTATCTTCAGAGTGGAAGGTCCATTGAAGGGGCAAAAAACCCACATTACAGTGTCCGTGAAAGTTCCACCAAGGGCTCCATTATTGAAAAACCAATCAACAGAAGAAGGCAAGTAAACTTCCATTCAATATTTAGCATTTTGTCTTCATGGAGTTTTATCTTCCAAGGATTTCCATTGTTATGTTCATGAGTAAGTAGGGTTTAGGAATCTAGTTGCCCTGCTACCCGGCTGTTATGGTTCCATATTTTTAGTGCCTATGCAGCTTAGTAAAAATTGGACCCTGATTGTTGTCCTTTTTAATGAAATATATTCTCATTGTTTTTTATAGTTGATTGTAAATGGAGGTTAATGAACCTATTGATGTGGAAAGTTGTGATAATCAAGAAATTCAATCTGTTGTTGAATCCACAAAGAAGAAGGCAAAAACAGAAACTTCAGATTGTTGGAAGTTTTTTACCAAGATAGGAGTAGCGGATGATGGAATTGAGAGGGCAAAATGTATTGGTTGTAATCAAGAATACAAAGTTGGTGGGAAAAATTATGGAACGTCGCATCTGAAACGTCACATTCTAAAGTGCAAGAATATTAAATTTGAAGATGTGGGTCAAATGATGATAGATATGCAAGGTAAATTGAAAAGTCAAAAAATAGATCAAATGGTATCACGTGAGATGTGTGCTCTTGCAATTATTGAGCATGATTTGCCTTTCAATTTCGTTGAGTATGAAAGGATTAGGATGTGGGTAAGTTACTTAAATCCTAATGCAATTCCAATTACAAGAAATACTGCTAAGAGCGATGTCTTAAAGATTTACATGAGAGAGAAGGAGAACCTTAAAGACATAATGGCTAGCATTCCAACTAGGATTTGCTTAACTTCTGATTTGTGGACAGCTTGTAATACAGAGGGTTACATATGTTTAACAGCTCACTTCGTTGATAGGAATTGGAATTTAAATAGCAAGATTCTTAACTTTTGTCATATGCCTCCTCCTCACACTGGTTTTGAATTATGTCAAAAAAATTTTGATTTATTGAAGGATTGGGGAATAGAGAAGAAGTTATTTTCCATTACTTTGGATAATGCATCTGCAAATGACAATATGGTGAGAAATTTGAAAAGTCAGCTTGGTTTGCAGAAATTGTTGTTATGTGATGGACAATTTTTTCATATTCGTTGTTCTGCTCACATTTTGAATCTAATTGTTCAAGAAGGGTTGAAAGTTTCTAGTGATGCCTTGAGCAAAATTAGAGAAAGTGTCAAATATTTAAGGGGCTCGGAAGGCAGAATGAAAGCATTTAAAGAATGCATTGATCAAGTGGGAGGAATTAACACTTCAAAAGGCTTATGCCTAGATGTCCCTACTAGATGGAATTCAACTTATCTGATGCTTGAAAGTGCTCTTATATACCGACGTGTGTTTTCTATTCTTGAATTCAGTGATAAAAATTATAAATATTGTCCTACACTTGATGAATGGGATAGAGGAGAAAAAATTATGGGGTTCTTGAAGCCATTTTATGATATTACTGAGTTGATTTCTGGCACATCCTATCCTACTGCCAACTTATACTTTTTGCAAGTTTGGCAAATTCAATGTAGTCTCCAGAACACATTACATGATGAAGATGACATTTTAAAGAGCATGGCTGCAAGGATGATGGAAAAATTTGACAAATATTGGGAGGAATATAGTATTGTGCTTGCACTAGGAGCACTTCTTGACCCACGGATGAAGACTTCTGCTTTGTCTTATTGTTATTCCAAAGTTAATCCATTGACAAGTGAAGGAAAAGTAGAAGAAATAAAGAAAAATGCATACAATCTCTTTGACAATTATGCATGTCACGTTCCTCCCTCTTCAAATGCTCTAAGTCAAAGTCTCTGTGATGTTACAAGTGCATCTTCAAGTGGGTCAATATCAATAGAGAAGAAGGGATTTTCAGAAATCATGTTCCAAGTAAGTTTATTTTAATTTGAAATAATAATTTATTTACTTACATTGTATTTTTTAAAAACTTATATTTTTATGTGTTTAATTAACTTGTCAAATATGGTAGGAATTGAAAAAGCACAATCAACCCTTCAATGCAGCAAAGATTGGAAAATCTCAACTTGATGTTTATCTGGGAGAGGAGAATTTAGAGTTTGATGATGATACATTTGATATATTACAATGGTGGAAGGGGAGAGCTAAACGTCTTCCAAATTTATCACTAATGGCTCGTGACTTATTAAGCATTCCTATTACCACTGTTGCATCTGAATCTGCATTCAGCATTGGGTCACGGATTCTTAATAAATACAGAAGCAGTCTCTTACCTGAATGTGTTGAAGCTTTGCTTTGTACCCGTAATTGGCAGAATGGTTTTTCTAGGACTGGTAATTTATTTAATTTGAATTCATTTTATATTGAACCATACTTGTCTGTAAAATTAATTTTTTTTTTCAATTATTATTTATATAGATGAAGGTGCCTCTGATGAGAAGATTGATGAGAAGATTGATGAGAAGATTGATAAATGATGACGATGGCAGTTAATGTTTTGTTGGAGCTTCTTCAAAGCAATGAATCAAAAAGTAGTTTGTGCTTTTTTTTTTTTCAATTTGAATGGACATTTGTGTGTATTGTAGTTAAACTTGATAACTAGTTTTGTGAATTAATATTTGTATTTTATTTTTTGGACTAGCTTGTAGAATCAAATTTAAGCAGCGTTGATTCCTATTATTTATGTAGTTTTTTGTGTTTTTTATGCAGATTTTTTATTTTTAATTTTTAATTTTATGAGTTTTTTTATTTTGGGCGGGCTAGCCCGCAACCCGCCAGCCCGTTCATAAAACGGGGCGGGTTGCTAAGTCTGGCCCATTTTATCAAAACGGGGCGGGCTGGCCCGGCCCATTTTTGGCGGGCCAATGGCGGGGCGGGCCGGGGCGGGCCAGCCCGTATTGCCAGCCCTACTTGGACCATCCAAGCCCATTACATGATCCATGCGCCCTTTTCCCTTTTAGGTTGGCTTCCAAACTTCTTCTTGGGCTAACAACCATTATTAGGCCCAATACCTTTTAATGCTAGATCATCATGGCAATAAGGTGTTAGTGTGTGACCCATTAGGTCCAACATAGCCACTGACATAAATGGGCTAGGGCCCAACAAGCCCACAACTCATTTAATGACAACACAGAGCACTAGCAATGCTTTGTTGCCCCATAACTAGTTAGATTAATGACTTGATCATCCTATTACACATATTTGGTTGCCGTTTTGTCTCATAAGATAAAATTATCTATTATAATCTTAAAATGATGTCGTTTTGGAGTTTAGAAAAAAAATTGCAAGTAATTTTGAAAATTTTGTTTTTCTCTTTTATCATAATTTTACTAAAATACCTGCATTGTTTAACCTTATTTTGAGGTTGTAAGAAATAAATTTATTTCATGTTGGAAGAAAAACGTTAATCCATTAAAAAAAAAGGTTTAGTATCTCTCTTATAAATAAAATATAACTTTATATCCTGGACATAAAAGTGAGTAATTCTATTTTTTCCTTTTCTCTTTCTTCTCTTCGTAGATTAACCCTTTAAAAAAATAATTATATACGGATGTTGTTCAAGTCTATTATCCAAGAATAGTTACAAGCTCACATGAAAAGTTTACATTCAAGCTAAAATGTATTAGTATTGTATTTGGTGAATTCTGAAATGTTGCAGCTAAATTGCAGATGGAAGATGAATATAACATAAACATTGATGCTATGGTGAAAAATCTGAGGAAGGAATTAGTGAAATCACATAATGTCCAACAATGACACGTGCTTGTTCATCAAGGAAGCGTATAGAGTATCGTTTAATATTTTGTCATGTCAAAAATAAATTATGAGGCTGAGAACTATTAACTTTACATCGCCATCAAGTGTGCTTATAGTCCACGGGATTGGTACATCATGGATTAGCATGTGAGATATATATATATATATATATATAGTGAAGATATTCTAACTACTAAAAAATCTTACTATTAATTTACTACCTATCACATCACCATTAGATCAAAGATCACTACAAAAAACACGCCGTTTAGCCACATTCAAAAACGTGGCTAAATTTAACAATAAATGTGGCTAAACAAGACTACCACACTTTTGCCAAACGTGGCTAATCTTGGCGTGGCATTTATTTTGCCACATTTTTCTTCTAACTTTGCTACTGCTGTCAAGAGTGTGGTAGCATTATTTTGGCCACGATTATACTGACATTAGCCACATTATAAATGTGGCTAATTTGTTGGGAGAAAATCAAAAAAAAAATTAATACGTCCTATTTCTTTTATAATATGTCTCTACTCAAATTCTAGCATTTTTTATTTTATTTTATTTTTTTTGCTGTTAATTAACCTTTGAAAAAAAGGAAATTTCTACCCAAATTCCTTAATAAGATCTATAAGTTGAAATATGATAAAAGGAAAGAACAGAGATCCAAACATTAGCATTTCCCAATCACATATCCTCTTGAAAAAAAAAAAGCAGAACCATATCCACTGAGAGCAAAGGATAGAGAGGGGTAAGGCTGCAAAATGAATTTTTTGCATGAGTAGCATCGACCCAAAAATTGTCTTCCCACCCATTCTAATGAAGTCCACAATTATTCATAATCACTTTATGCCAAAGAAAATTAGGTTCCAAAAGGAAGCACCACTACCATAGCCAATATATTTAGACAATAGATCCCCAGGTACAATCCAACTTCCTACAAAGACTTACAATACTCTGTTCCACAGAGACTATTTCAAAAACATTTGACATTTCACATAGACTGAAATTTATAAACAACAGTTTGATTTCCCTAATAATTGTTTACATAACAAACAACCTGAGCTCAATATCAGAGAGATTTTCTGATTCATCATGAGCTTTTGCGTTCATATCATCTTCTCTATGTGACTCATCATGGTCACCATCTTTTATAGCCTGGAGCTCATTAGCCCCTGAAAGCATTTTAAGCAATTAGGATTAAAAAATCATAAGCAGAGATATTATAGTAGCCAGAGAGAGGGAAAGAGAGAGAAATAAAAGCACCCACCAATAGTTTCTGGCTCAGAGGCATGTAATTTTTCTATTTGGCTATCACATGCACCATTTGGCATTTGATGCTTCAACCAACTATCCAAAATAACAAACCAAAGATACATAAGATTGTAAGTTGAGTTGATGCCTCTTTGAAAATTGTATATGGGTATCATGTGGTTTGGAAATTGTCTATGGGAGCCTTTATTTAACCATAAAGAAATTCCCTAGAGATGAAAATTCAAATCTTCATGTTCAGGCACTTTTTGAGTGATGTGCAATGAACTATTATTAATATTAACACAACCTCATAGACAAGTTAAAATTTAGTGGTGTTTGCTACCTTGCGACTGTATGCTACAACAACTAAGAATTTTGATGCACTCCAATTTGTTTGGGAGCTTAACTCAGGCTTCTTACTGAAAGCATAGAGCAGAACACCATTATTATACTCATTTGTTACATCCACCTGCTTCACAAAAACTGAACTTGCCTTTATCAAACGGGATGAGCTTGGACCAAGCACCAGGCGAGAATCCCTGTAAAACCCATACATGAGACTGGCTAAAACTGAATATATAAGATGAAAAAAAAATGGCATGATTAAGCAGGAGGAATCAAGTGAGAGAACAACTATAAGATGATGAAAAATTACATGCCATAAATATAATCTATTGTTTATGTTTTTCAGTAAGAGCAGTTAAGTTACTGAGACCTCAAAAGGGGTTAAAGTAATTTACTCAAACAAATTAAAAAAGCAAAAAAAAATGAAAGGAGTTAGCCTAGTAACATTAATGGTGATCGTATGACAACAATAACTAAAAAGAGATAAAAAGATTTAAACATTTTAAAGGGAATAAATGTACAAATAAATAAATAGATTTAAACAATAACTAAAAAGCAAAAAAATAGAGTAAACTTCCACTAAAATAAGGTTCTGCTTTCTGCCTAGTACAAATAAATGTACTGGCAACTTTATTAATTATAATGGGAATACTAAAACGCCAATATATATATAATAACTCAACTAACAAATTGTTACATGGTTACTTTATAGAAATATATAAAGAAAGAATAATAATAGACAAATTATAAGCCTTAGATGGTCTTCATTATTTCAGAATTGATTTTTATTGTTTTTTCGTTTATGGATTTTTTTTGTAATTATTTAGATTAGCTAGATGTTGTAGTGGCAGTAAGAAAAAAGAAAGGTCAATATTATTTATAAATATTTAGATTAGCTTCAGCTTATAGGAAATAATTCATTTATAATTGTTATTTTAGATATAAAAAATAAAATAAAAATTTCCCATACAACAGTTGTTTCTCAACTATGACTTGATGGTTGGAGCCTTTTTTTTTTAATAAAAAATTATGTATAATTTAGTCCACATTCGTACGTGCATACCTTATAAGTGTCCATGGGCATAGCAGACACTTGGTCTAACCATACAACCCCTAATACTAGAGAATTAAATGATAGTTCAACACATTTAAGTGTGCACTATTAACCATTATTTAAAAATTTAAAAATCAAAAGGTGAAAAATTTAACTTCTCTGATTTCCACCTTCTTCATTTCACTATATTGCGCATACCATTAATAAAGCAGGTATGTTTTATGGAGATTCATGACAGAAGTAGTTTACCCTGCAAAGCTTTGTGCATCTGTATTGTAGACCTACATGTTTGCAATGCAATTATATTAGAAACATTAGAGGGCCAATTAGTAGCTAAAGAGGCTATGACACAACAAAGTTTAAAGTAATCACAAGCCTCTTCTTCCTGGACAAAAGAAAAAGGAAACAATGGAAAGCAAACTACAGAGAGATAGACAACCAATTACTGTGGTACTCAATTTTGGTTTCGTACATTCTTTTAATAAATAAATAAAATCAAACATAACATCAAAGGAAGCAAACCTGTACAAATACTGTGAAATAATTGCCAACTGATTTAGGTGACATTCTTTAGCAGATAGAGAGGTTTATAGTTGTATTTTGAGGGACACAAGCCATCCTTGTAATTAGGCCAGAGTCCAAGTGTCGAAATCTGCTGAAGGTTTTCCTGTATTCAGGTAGCAGCAGCTATGCTTCGTGTCACAGTATGCTCCTGGCCACTGCATGATTCACAATTCAAAAAGGAAAAAAGTTAATATATATATGAGAAATATATATATATATATATATATATATATATATATATATATATATATATATATATATATATATATATAGATGTCAACAAAAGTATAACTTAAACGATGTTTAAGTTTTGCCAGACTACAAGGTAACGCCTAAGACATGTTTTCGAAGCCATTAAGAACAATGTCTTTTGATAACATAACTGAGTCAATGTATAATAAATTCAGGTCAATATATAACAATATTTTTTATTGATAGAGCATTGCAACAATGGAGTAGGAACACCATCTTTATACACCATTTTTTTTTTCTTTTTTGATGAAT